CCAATAGGGACCTTCCACGGCAACCTCCCCTAGTGAATGCACCCCCCCCCTGCTCTATGGGGACTGCCCCATAAGGACCTCAGACACCCTGCCCTATAGGGGTATTCCAGAGGCCCTATAGCAACACCCCTAAGGACATAGCCCCATAAAGACACCCGACACCCTGACCTATAGGTATCCCCCATACAGGCCTCCCATAGAGACACCCTGCCCTATAGGGACCCCTCCAGAGGGACCCTGCACACCCTGCCCTATAGGGTCCCCCCTCCATACGAACCTCCCATGGGGACACCCTGCCCTACAGGGACCCTCCCCATAAGGTCTCCCTCCCCCCTGGGACTCCAGACAACCTGCCCTATAGGGACCTCCCCCATAGGGTCCCCCTATAGGGATCTGCACGCCTTTCCCTATAGGGACTGCCCCATAGGAACCCTGGACACCCTGCCCTATATGGACCCCCTCCATAGGGACCCCCCCATAGGGACCAGGCACAGCCTGCCCAATAGGGACCCCCCATAGGGACCCTTGGCCTCATATAGGGCTGCGCCGGGGAGCCCATAGGCGACGTGGGGGCTGCTCCAGGGTCTCCTATAGGGTCCCCCCGATGCCAGAAAGAGCCAGGCACTCCCAGGATGCTTCAAATCCTGTATTTAAATTTTTTTTTCTTTTTTTTCCTCAGAAATCCAGGAAAAATGGGGGGCAAGGGATACAAACAAGTTACAGAAAAGGAAAACAAAAAGTTATAATTACCAAAAAAAGCTATTTCCCCCCCAAACCCCTCTTCCCACCCCTTCCCACCCCCCCAAAGTTGCATCCTGGGCTGGTGGAGAAAAACAGTGTTAACAGAGCCCCAAATTCCTTTTATTCACCCCAAAACCAACCCCGAAGCCGCCCCCATGACTCCCCCCTAAAGCCCTTCCCAGTTCTCCCAGTTCTCAGCCTGGACTGGGATCCCCCCAGGGAAAAAGGAGCTTCCGGGACCCAGGGCAGCGTTTTGGGGTAGAAACGCTCAATTTGGGAAAACTGAATTAACTCTGGGTCTAAGGTAAAATAGGGGCAACTCTAGCGTGGGGAAGTCCCTCATCCTCCCAGTATACCAGTAAAAAACCCTTCTTCTTCCCAGTATACCAGTAAAAAAAAAAACCTTTCTCCCAGTACACCAGTAAAAAAACCTCTTTTCTCCCAGTAGACCAGTAAAAACCTGCTGTCCTCCCAGTATACCAGTGAACACCCCCCATCCTCCCAGTATACTAAGCAAAAGCCTCCCTTCTTCCCAGTACACCAGTGAAAACCACCTGCCTCCCAGTATACCAGTTGAAGAACAACTCCGCCCGGTATACCAGTAAAATAAAGCCCCCTTTTCCCAGTAGACTAGTCAAAAACCCACTTTCCTCCCAGTATACCAGTGAAAAAGTGCCTCCCTCCCAGTATAGCCTCCATCACTCCAGTAGACCAGTCATAAAGCCTTATCCTCCCAGTATACCAGGGAAAAGGGGCCTTCCTCCCAGTAGACCACTAAAACCCCTCCTATTCTCCCAGTATACCAATAAGGAAATTCAGTCCTCCCAGTATACCAGTTAAAACCTCTGTCCACCCAGTATACCAGTTAAAGGCTGCCTTCCTCCCAGTAGACCAGTTTAAATTCCCATTTCTCCCAGCAGACCAGTCAAAAAGGGCCTCCTTCCCAGTACACCAATCAAAAAGGATCTTCTTCCCAGTGGACCAGTTCAAATTCCCATTTCTCCCAGTAGGCCAGTGAAAAAGGGCCTCCTTCCCAGCAGACCAGTCAAAAGGGACCTTTCTCCCAGTAGACCAGTTCAAACTCCCCATTCTCCCAGTAGACTAGTAAAAAATGGGATCCCTCCCGGTAGACCAGTAAAAAAGGAGCTCCCTCCCAGTAGACCAGTTAACAAGGACCTTCTTCCCTGTAGACCAGTTCAAACACCCCATTCTCCCAGTAGACCAGTCAAAAAGAGCCTCCTTCCCAGTATACCAGTCAAAAAGGACCTTCCTCCCAGTAGACCAGTTAACAAGGACCTTCTTCCCCGTAGACCAGTTCAAATTCCCATTTCTCCCAGTAGACCAGTTAACAAGGACCTTCTTCCCAGTAGACCAGTTCAAATCCCCCATTCTCCCAGTAGACCAGTAAAAAAGGAGCTCCCTC